GAAGAAGCGGGAGGCGGCGGGGGGAGCGCCGTCCTGCCACGTGGAGGCGACGAGGAGGATGAGCGTTTCCTTGGGGAGGTCCTCGGGCTCGTAGTGTTGGCAATCAACGACGTCGAATGCGACGCCGTTGGAGGCGAGGAGGCGGTGGAGGCGGCGGGCGAGGGATTTGGCGGTGCCGGTTTCGGAGAGAAAGAGGATCTTAGGGTTAGGGTTAGGGTTAGGGTTGGGGTAGAGTTTGTGTTTAAGGAGTCTGAGGCGGCGAGATTTGTAGAGGCAGTAGAAGGTGGTGGCGGAGAAGAGAGCGAGGAGTGTGAGACGAGCGGGGACTGAGGATAGTGACGTTGATATCGACATTGTTGCAGTTGAAAATGGAGATTGTGTACGTGTGTGCGTGTGTGTGAGAGAGTGTGGTAAATAGTAATAGTAACTAACTATGTGTTAGGTGTTATTCGAAAATGGGAGTGAAGTGAAGGGTGCATCGGTCATGTTTGGTTCATTGATCTCTTCGAGGAGCTGATTGTGGCGGCAAACACCATCGGAGGAACCAGCGAGAGGAAGAAGACTCAGCGCAGTTTATGGGCCGGGGTTTAAAGTTGCAGGCCCGGTTCTTTTGTTATTGACTTCTCTTTATGCAAATTAATTTTATGTTGTTTGTATTGTTGAGAATAAAATAAGAATTTGGAAGAAATAAAATTGGTTGCATTTTATCTTAATTTTTTTAGGATTAAATTATTCTTTAATTTTTGTTATAAAAATATTTAAATAATATTTTTATATTATCTTATTACATTTCATTTCACTAATTCATTTCAATTTATTGTATTCAATAATACTTAACATTAAAAAAAATGTGATTAGGAAGAGAAATTATGTTAAAAATAGTTAAACAAATTTTATAACGATGATTAGATATCTCATCAATAAGGTTTATGAATACTTTATATTAATAAAATAATTACAAGAAAGAGTGACTATTATATATCTAAACATTGCCTTTCCAACTAAGTTAAATATTATATGAAATTTTGCATATGATGAGACCAACATAAATTTTTATTAAATAGATTGTTTTTAAAACGCATGGTACTTAATCATTACTTTAATCAGTCAATATTTGTTGATTTAAATTTAAATTAATGAATAATAATAAAAATATTTTATACATCAATTTAAATTAATGAAATAAAATATTAAATAATTTTTAAATTTTAAAAGAAAATTATAAAATTGATTTATATATTATAAAACTTTAATTTAACGATTAAATTGTTAAAATTTAGTATAGAACATAACTTATTGAATAGAGTAAGTTAGATAAAAATTTATTCCTGAAATAAATGAATCTCTCATTATACATACATATATACACACTAAGTGTAACATGATTAATAGATAACCTTCCATATTATCTCTCAAACATGTAGTTTGAGATTCAATCTTTATTTAATATGTACAAAAAATTTATTAGAAAAAGATCAACCCTTTAAATCAATCATGATGCTTTGGAAGATTAGTTCTTAACCAAGAAACTTTAAATTATTTGAGTTAAAAGGATATATAAAATTTAGATGTTGTAGCCTCTTGGAAAAAGGAAAAATTACCGTAAAAACTTAATTCTAATAATTAAAAAAAATCAATCAATTTTGAGCAAATGTAAGGGATGTTTGAAAGAGCTTACATAACTCATTTAAACTTCTGAAGAAGCTATTTTTAACTGATTTTAATAAATTACTTTTTAATAAGTTTATTCTAATAAGATTAGCCATATTTATGAAATAAGATTTGAATGATAAGAACTGTTGAATAAGTACTTAGTTTTTAATTGGAATGTAACTTAGAGTCCATATTAGTTATAAAATGAACTAAAAGGAGGACTGACTAAAAATAAAAATCGATGATTGATGGATTTGTTAGATAAAGGATTCCTATAAAAACGCCTCCATATATATCATTTCACGTTGAATGAAGAACAATGGGTATGGAAATTATATGGGCACCTGTGGTTGAGATTATACAAGAAGAAAATTGCATATACGAGACCTAAGGCCTCCACGTAGTTTTCTGTGCACATAGAATACCCTCCTTATCTTGAGCAAAAGTCATCCTAATCTCCCACTGCATGCTTCTCAATATTTCCTCCAACGGATTTAGAATCTCAACTTTGTCACGTATAATTGTCCAACCTCCCGGTCGTAATATACGGTCCATCTCAACAACAATGGTCACAGGCTGCTTGCACCTGCAAAATAATTGTTTCAAGAACATGCAAGCAATTTCATCACAACACACAAGTCTCACCTAGCTCGAGCAAGTTTTAGAGCCCAATATTTGTGATATTTACCATGTATAGAACCACTCAAACGTAACCGAGAGTACTATCAACTCACTATCTATTATGGAATAAGATTTATCAAAAAGTACAAAATCACGAATGAAACTTGTTAAATAAGGAATGAGATTCATACAATTATGTGATTTTTAATAAATTTCAACTAAATGCAAAATGCGTTAGAAAAAATGTGGTTAACATTTTTCAAATGTACTATTAACCTGTTTGAATACAAGCTAAAAATACTTCTGAAAGCATTGTTTAGTAGAAAATGTTCTTTATTTTCAATATAGAAGCTCTTAAGGGGCTCTGCTAAACTTCTATCTAAACAGATTTTATATAATTCTAATTTCACTAAAATTCACAAGAAGTAACCATTGTTTTATCCATCGCAATCAAACTTAGTATCAAGACTCACAACTGAGTTAGACATCATTGGTCAAGATCCTAACCATTTAATACCATGTATATATATTGACCAATGTAAGAAATTGTCCACTGGTACCTGTTTTTGAGCCGAGAGAACAAATGATCAGCGTGCAAAAGGTCATATGTTCTTGGATAAGTGCCAAATGACTCGCACCAATCATGATATATACCGATAAGCCCACGTTCAAAAATGATGGGAAGCGTATCCGGTGCATGAACAGGTACAACATTCATCACCCAGACCTTTTGTTGAGAGAGAGCTGCAGCCAATCTGCATTTCCACAGGAGAATTATAAATTTAATTTTACCAGTGTTCCTAATGTGTTGGAAATCATGCCATGACCAAATATCACATGTGAATTAAATATGTATCAGAGAAAATTGCAGCAACAAACTTATCCATGATATCTACATTACAAGCTCTACAAAGACTTTCAAATCTGAGTCTAAAATGAAAAGTCTGTTTAGATAAACTTCTCAATATTCGCTATTTGTAATAACAGATAAAAATAAGAAGGAAAAATGAAATTAGCTTATACCTAAATTAATTTGTAAAAGTTCTTTTATATTGGTTTCTTCAAAATATTTTTAATTTAAGTAAAAGCTAGTTTTAACTTATGGAAAAATTTATTTTATTTTATTTTCTATTTTCTTCTCTATAAGTGGCTATAGACAAGTTTATTCAAACAGGTTCCAAGTTGGTTTTCTGGCATACCCGCCGTAGATGGATTTCATGTCCATTACATTCCGGATACTTGTCCAATTAATGCCCAGTCCATTAAGATATGACTTGTTAACAATAGCATTCCAGTGGTTGGTGTCTGCAACCACTTTCTCTTTGTTGTTCACCCAATCAGGATAAGTTTCGAGCCTTTTGGGCCATTCCTCAGGCCACTCTGCCCCGTGTTGTTCAATTCCTAATGGAATGGTGTGCAAACAAGTCTTCATGGGAACATACCTATTCAAAGAATATACAAAAGTTACCAATTAATAATTAAGATTAAGCTTATTATAAATAAGTCAAACTATGTGATGAACTAAAGCTGTTAAATGCAGTAAACAAACTGATTCACCCACAATAATAATAACATAGCATAAATGACGATTTTGGTTTGAAGGTATCCCAAGCATCAACACAATACACTTCAATCATAATTTTCTGGTCTAATTGCACTTTCTGCCACCGTGTAAATTGACTAAATGACGTTATTAGTCAACTTTAGGTGTGACAATTAACTGCTGATGTGATATGTTGATCTCTAACGCGAATTGATGAAGTGACATGTGAATGATATCGTGACATACATGTCATGTCAATAGTCAAAGAATCATGTCAGCAGTTGGTTAATGGCGTCAGATGATCAATTAATAGGTGACAAAATTTTAAAAGTTGAGTAGTAAAATGTATAAATTTAAAAGTTGAGCAATAAAATTTGCAAAATCATGAAAGATTAGTGAGAAAAGTACAATTAAGCCTAAAATTTTTCTTTCCCCAGTTTGGTTTGGAAGCTCAAATGATCAATTTTAACCATAAATACAGTACATAACCAAACAAAGTGACATTCAATTCTATTCAAAGGTGGCACTGCCGTACTAATATATAATTATTTGTCATTACCAGATCAAAGAAGTTCTGCTAACATAAAGTAATGCAGAAAAATTAAGTTCACATACTGAAGATAAATGCATGTTTATATTCAACGATAAAAACTATAACTGGGAAAATATTGTAGAAAGCAACGTCATATTACTAGAAGATCAATATTGCAAAATAACATTACAGTAGGATACCAGACTGCATCAGGATTTTCATTTTCTTTGCAAAGTGGTGGAATCTTCTTCCTTCTCAATTCATAAATGTCATTTCCTTCAGGCTTTTGATATATTTTAACTCCAACTTCGCCAACATCATCACTTTTGTGTGCCAGAACATTCCAACAAATAGATGCCGTCAATGATGTCATGGCTGGAAGAGAAAAGATATGTAACTATCACTTGCATGACATTTCAATTGTCATGTTACAATGCAGAGCAAGGTTCACATCTCCACAAAGCATGGACAGATCTTATAATGTATTTTAATATTTTCTGCTAAAAGGCAATGTGCATCTGATCTCCAACGGTTAAGTACAAATGATATGGAACACAATGCAACCTTTATATATTACAGGATATATAATATGATCATTTTATGCTAATTTAGAATGCTATCATGTAGAGGCACTTTGAACCAAACATGAGACTGACCTTCTTCTTCTTCAATGCTGTCATGTTTAGTTGACATAATAAAGTAACCCCCTGGTCGTAGAATCCGATTCATCTCTAATAGAAGCTTACCACCTGAAAAATTGGGGATATTCAACTTATTCTTCTAACAAAATAAATATAATTTGCAGAAACTATTTCCAAAAACAAGAAACTATAGACAGGAACACAAACCATTGGAATGCCAAGGTATGCTGCAACCCCCACAATGTATAGCATCAAAAACTTGGCTTGGAAAAGGAAGCCTCCTTCTACTGAAAGGACTAATAACTGCTGGGAAGCCTCGCTCAAGCGCAACTTGTGCCAAGTCCACTAGGTCATTCTTCAAGCCAAGTGTTAATGTTATAACCTCCTTATCAAGGAGAGCAGCTGCAATGCTCGAATCTATACATCCGATGTCCAGAACAACACGAATATTTTTACCCCATTCAATGTCTGGTACCATCTATGAAATTCAGAATGAGTTTCAAAATGTTTCCAAGATATGACAGATAAATGAATAGTAACCAATGTTTATTCTGTTAAGTTGAAAGTTGCAGTTTTAGTTAATATAAACAAACATCAAAATTACCATCACAGTACAATTATAGGATATATGAACGAAATGTACAATGTGCAAATAAAACCAAGTGCTGAAAATAGTTTTGACAAACCATAACAAGACAATCCTAGAAATTTCATTGTCACATATACATTTGGATCTTATCTTAGAATATCCAGAGAAAATAAATTTTGTTTAGGAGACAGAAATTATCCCATCAATAACCAATGTTCTTTCCACTGGCAACGAATGGAATTTATTTATTTTTTTATTTCCACACTTCAGATGAAAGAATTGCAAAGCAAGAGATCATGACTCATTACAGTTGGTTGTGTTTCTGCAGGTACATAGGAACATGAGCAGCAAATGCAGCATTGCATTTGAGAAGAAATTCAAACCTTAGTAAATAAAGCAACAGTAAGCCAGTGCTGGTGGCAACAGGATGTTACCATAATAATTGACATAACTTTATGATGCAAAATTAAAGTGCTGATAGTTGATGTGCTTAATGAATAGACCATGATTTTCAAGGCGTAAGACTTTGGAAATAAGTCTCAAGCTTACTAAACTAACCGCTATCTAGATATTGAAATTATCTATCTACATGAAGTGCACTGTACACATTATATGTATCATGTAGCGATAAAAGGAGAGACCTAATATAACTGGTAATTTCCCTTAATTCACAGTTCTTTCCTCAGAGTATACAGGGTATAATGAATGGAAAAAAATTATCATCAAATAACAAACAAGCTAATCTCTAATGTCGTTAAGGTATAACTATTTCTGAGTTTATCACATTTGAGAAATAAAACTCCAGCAGCCCCTCTTCTTAATTTTTTCATAGATGCATCAATTTTGTTTGTCCGCAATCATGCTAACAGCTTAAGAGGGTACCAAACATAATACCCTAGTAGAAAACTTACCTCTTCAATGGACTCAAGATAATGATGAATCCCTCCCTTGAACACAGATTGGTTTTGGGGAAAAGTAAGATACTCTCCAGACTCCATCAACCAACTATGCCTTTTTATGTATGCAGCCAGTTTAGGATGTGCAACATTCTTATACAATATCTGCACTGACACAAGATGTGACCATGAGAAAAAAAGGAACATAACACCCCACAACTAAGCTTACAGGCCAGTTTGAATTAACATCAAACTTCTTGTTCAAATTCAAATCAACTTATGCACCTTAACTTTTCCAGAAACTACCTTATCTAACTTCTCCATAAGCACCTATTAACTCAATGGATCTAACTTCTTCATAAGCACCTATTAACTCATAATAGCTATTTAGTAACTAGAAATCAAATACTTGTCCCAATTCAAAAGCTTAGCATGTTTGGAGACAAACTTAAAAAAGCTTTTGAGGGCTTCTCACCCAGAAAAAGTCTTTTATTCTCAACAGAGAAATTCTCAAAAACTCTTATAAACTTATATCCACACAGCCCTTAACCAAGTAGTAATCGAAACTTAGCTTATCTTATCTTCTTTTTCATATACCTTCAATTTGCTCTCAGGCCAAGGCAGCGGAGATCCATACCCTTCATGAGGAAGAGGAACCAAACACATAAGGGGTGTCCTCGGGCAACTCCTCTCCGTGTGGCGGTAGCTCGGTATCTTCCCTCCACCAACTTCAAAATCAATGCAGGGAATGTAATTATGCTTGCTTCTAACACTACACAGTTTCCATCTATAGCTAGCATTCGGATCAAACAAGGGCCCTTTAACCTTTCCCTTGGTTGTTTTTCTCAACTCCTCCATTCCCCCATCTTCCAACATCTCAGAATCCTGATCCACTGATTCAATTAAATCATTGCTAGTGCCACCATCTACATCCACATCCACATCCACTTCACGATCC